CCAGCTATCATTCAGCCTAAGATTATTTAGCTTCCATGACTTTGTTTGAGTATGAAGATTCCTGTGTCGAGTTCAACTTTTATTCTCTGGTGGTCTGAGAAGATAAAAGGAATAATTTCTATTCTTTTAAATCTCCTGAGGTTAGATTTGTGTTCTAAGATATAATCAGTTTTAGAGAGTGATACATGAGCTGATGAGAAGAATGTATATTCAGTTTTATTAGGGTGAAATGTTCTGTTGAGGTCTGTTAAGTTCATCTGTTCTATGGTCAAGTTTAAGTCTCATATTTCTTTGTTTAGTTTCTTCTTGGAGGATCTATCCAAGACTGACAAAGTCAATCAATTAATCAACTTTGATCAACTCCAGCTATTAAAATCTCCAACTATTATAGTGCAGGAAGATATCAAATTGTTCATCTTCATTTTTGCTTTATAAATTGAGAGCATTCTAGTGGGGTGCATAAATGTTAATTATCGAAATCTCTTCATGTTGGGTATTTCCCTTGACACATATACAGTGACCATCCTTATCTTTCTTTATCTTTGTTGCTTTAATGCCAGTTGTATCTGTAAGTCTATTTTTATCCTTTAAGGTAACATGAGATTCTTGTATACAGAAGATATCTGATCTGAGTTTATGTATCCTGTGCCTCTTTAGAGGACAACTTAAACCATTCACATTAATTGAGAGAATTGATAAACATAGTAGTGTTTGGGTGTCATGTTTTTCAAATGTCCATTGAACATTTTTAATCCTTTCACCACTGTGAAAGTTGGGTTTTATTCAAAAATTTGTGAGTGAGTTTACTTTCATGGTAGAGCATTGTGCTGGTCTTTGTGGAGGATGGGTCTGAGAATATCCTAGAGAGATGGTTTAGCTGATGGCAAATTTCTTCAACATGTGTATGTCATTAAAATATTTGATTTCTCCATCACAAATGAAATTCAGTTTAGCTGGATAAGGATGGTCACTACAACTTTCCTGGGCTGAAAGTTGTTTTATTTTAGGAGATTAAAGGTCGATGACCATCCTCTTCTGGCTTGAAACATTTTGGCTGAGAGATCTGCAGTCATTCTGATATTTCTCCCTTTGTAGGTGATGCTTTTCTTACCTCTGGCTGCTTGCAGAATTTTCTCCTTCATCTTAACTTTGGCAAAGTTAATCACAATATGTCTAGGAGATGCTTCATTTGGATTAAGTCTTGCTGAGGTTCTGAAACTGTCTACTATCTGAATTTCTTGCAATGCTGGAGAAATTCTCCATAATCTCTTGGAGTAGAGCATCTGTACCTTTAGGACCATTCTCTTCTCCTTCAGGAATTCCTGTAAGATGAATGTTTGA